ACTCCCACTCCTTTCCCCAGTGAAACAACCCACACCCTTCCGATAGCCTCCCTCATGGGCCCCAACCCAGTGACCCTCAGGCTGATTCCTCCTCTCTGGCCAGTTCCCAGCCACCACCCTACCTCAGAGCTGAGACCCTCGCATTGGTGCTCACTGCTTCCCTTCCGCACCCTTTGCTTCTGCTCCTGACATGACCTGTCTCCCCCAGCAGCGAGGAGAGGGGCCACACCAAGAGCACAGGCCGGGGAGTGACACAGGTGTTTGCTGGCCTGGGAGGATGGTTCAGGGTGGAATTTGCTCCAGCCAGGAGTGCCAGCTCCCAGCAGTCAGAAACGTCCCTCATACTCTACCCCGAGCCTCCCTCCCCAGCCCCCACAGCTTCACTGCTAGAAAAAAGTCCATATTATGAAGTCAGGTGTCATTGGCTTTGCCCCTGGATGGAAAGCTACCCCAAGCATCCGAACACAGCAGAGATCTGCATGTAACCATGACCATAGCTTCTTCCGCACCCAGCCTGGGCCTGCATGCAAACTGGCCATCCTTGGGTAAGTGAGAGCATGGCTGGAGTGGAGGGAGGCCAGCGCAGGGCACACAAGATGGGAGGTGGTGGTCGGATGCTGGAGAAAAGCGATGGGGAGATGACAAAGCACCATCACCAACACCACGAGGCTGGTGGTAGCTCAAGCTGGAGGAGGAGGGGGTCTGCCAGCCCAGTGGTGTTGGTGATGGTGCGGAGGCGGGAGTCGACTCTGGCATGGGGTGATGTGCGATGGAGTTAGCGGAGGTGTGAGTGGGTGCACAGGCAGCCTGACTAGTGGGTTGAGCAGGGTTGCTGGACTGTGACTGGGGGAAGCTTTCTCACCTCGCTCGGGGCCCAGTCCTGATCTCACACCCAGGTAACTCCAGTGACTTTCCATCTTGTTTGGTGGATAACATTGTTCCCCCGCCCCGCCCCCCATAAAATGGAAGTAAATAGGTCAACACTTTCCTGTCTCCTTGCAATCAGCGGAGAGGGTTTTAGACGATTCTAATGCCATTATCTTTAAACGAGGGTAATGTCGCAGTCTGACTCATAAATAGGCAACCTGGGAGTTACAATTTTGAAAAAAACTAATAATAAAAAGATAAGACTTCTATAGAACATCCGACTATATTGGACAAAGAATGCCTAAGGTACAGCGACGCTTGCCATCTAAACATATCAAAGCTTCCCAGGATGACGACGTTAGATTTCCTCTATTAATGTTCTCCATAGACAGCAATGATTTTTTTAAAAATAGATGTCTAAGTCAATTGAAATTTTATAAGCAGCAGAAGAAGACTGCGGCTGGGGAGCTACAGAACTCAGGGAATGATGGCTGCTTTCATAAGTGATGCCAGGATGCTGCTGTTATTTAGATCCTCTGATAAGTAAACCAGTCTGGTCAGTGTCTGGGGGGACACCTGAGGAGGAGGCTGTGGCATTGTTTTTGGTAGGCTGGGAATAAGCTTTGGTTATTTCTTACAAAATATTCTTTCTGGCATTATATTCTAATGTTGGTGTTCTTGTCTTTGTCTATGCATTCTTTAGCTATGAGGATAACAGACCCTTCATCAAGTAAGAATGACCTGAATGGCTGATAAATCCCATTTATCAGTGTGGTCTCATGAACCAGCTGGCAGATCAATATTGAAAAATCATTAAAGCTTCTGTCATTCACGTTTGAGGCAGAAGAGCAAACTGTGCAGGAAAATGGCCAGGCATACAGCTTCTAGGCAGAGTAAACATGCTGCATATGTATTGCCAAACAATTGTCACTTTATCTGCTTCACAATTCCTGATTGGACATCACCCGAATTCACGGCAAATGTTAAAGCAATCTCGTGTAGTACAGACTTGTTATACCAATAGCAGCTTCCTTGTTTCATTACGCTCTGTGGCTCTGTGCATCAAGTGTGTTGTGTTGGTAAGGAGGGCTTTGGCTTGGAATTCTTAATGCAATTTAGGGGTAAATTTTCAAAGTGATGCATGGGTATTAATCCATATAACTCCGAAGCTAATGGGGGCTAAATCTCTGTGCAAGACTTGGAAAAAATGTCTCCTTAAAGATGAGACTGCACAGTTGTCACAAATTGTCAATTTCAGGCTTTCAATCGTGCCAACATTTGATGTTTTGTTTTTCCATTTCTTTAGAATTAAATTATAAAAAAAGACTGTGAAAAACTTGTAACAGAAACACAAGTCTGTACAAAGAGCTAAAAACAAAAGGAAGCAAGAAACTTACAAATTATGCACTTTATATCAACATTTCTTGTCCTGCAACCAAAAAAGAAAAAAGAGAAAAAGTAGTATAATGGAAGCATAACAACTTTGCAATAGACTTTCAGTTTGTTCTTCTGGTGAAGAGTCCTTTGTGTTCATTTTTTTCAGTTCCATTGTCATATTCTCTTTCATTTTTCAGTTCTCTTTTCAAGGGTAGGGGATGGAGCAATTTTATTCAGTTTCCACCCCCTCTTTACCTCCAGGTCTGTTTTCTACATCAGAACTTTGTATATTGCACAGGTTGTGCTGCGTGGCTCCTCTAACCCAAAGATTCCTTTCAGCTGCTAAGGTAGCATATTTCTGTTACTACCATATACATGGTTCACTCTTTCCTATGCATCTCTGTAGTCTGAGGTGCTCTCCTTAGACTCAAGAACTAGCTGAAACTGGAGATAGGGTCATTTTCAATTACCATTTCGGTCATTTTTAAACGACCAAAATACACAAGGACACAAGAGAAAAATCTTTGTTTCTGCATTATTATTATTTTTTTAAATGACTTGATTTTGCAATTAAGATCATACCGTGGTCTCCTTGCTGGTGGAATCTTGGCAGGAAAAATATTTAAAACAGCCAAGCTATTAAACTTTGTCAAGTGACCGCCTTTCAGAAGGATTTTTGAGACTGCATTTTTAATTTGCATAGTGCTAAATATTTATTCACAGAATTGACTGGAAATGCTTCAAAGGAGCTGGTTCTGGTTTGCTAAATATAAAATAGGGATTTAAAATAAAAAAACTGTCTAAATAAGTAGTTACCTTAGTGGAGCTCTTCTGGTCGCATGGATAAATACATGTTTTATGAACTTCAATGGAAGATATAATACTGTATTTTCTTTCTAATATTTAAAGAAGAACAACGAGAAACTTTGACACAACAAGAGTGTGTTTCTGTTTAGGACAAACCCTTATAAAAGCACAGGAATTCAAAGTGAAGGCTGACATGTTGCCCTAGTGGCATGACTACAAGATTGGCATCCCCAGCTGCAAATGGCTTGGCTTTCTCACAGGATTTTTCACCAGTTCTTTTCTCGCTCTCTCTCTCTCTCTCTCCCTCCCCCCCCCCCCCCCCTTTCCCTTAGCAGAATGCAAACCCAACTCCATTCTGTCTCAAGCCAAGTTTTTTTTTCAAGCCTGCAATGTCTGAGGAGGTTGAAAATTAGGCAGAATTTGAGCTCACTCCTCCCTATCAGGACCTTGATCCTTCAAGTCCTTCTGCTGTTCCCAGCAGATAGCTCAAAGCTGTTGCACTCCAGGACTGATGTAAACAGAGGGCACAGATGAGGTGAAGCGTTATGGTGTGGGCCTCCTTGCTCAGGGGAAGTCAATCCAAAGCCTCTCTCAAAGAAGAAGAGTTAAAAAGAGGAGAGGTGTGAGTGGAGAATGAGCATGTCTGGGCAGGCTTTCAGGCCTGAGTCCCCCAGGTTTACATGCTATAATTCCATTCACTTTGGTAGAGTTACTCCTGATTTACACCAGGGTAACCTAGAGGGAAAGCTGGCCCTTGGGCTTAAGAGTGATCCTCAAATGAGGCTGCTTGCCCTGCATTCCCCACTTTGGCCACTAGGTGGAAGTTCCCATGGTGCCTGCAGAGTAGCACTCTCATTAAGGTCCAATCCAGCGTTCACTGAAGTCTATGTGATGACTCCTATTCATTTCAGTGGGTGCTGGAGCAGAGCCTAAGACAGGACTGGGTTCCCTTCTGCTCCCTGTCCTGCTCTTCATGCTTTGGCTTTTGGGTACCCCTATGGAGTAGGGTATCAACCCCTCCATGTGACTTAGCATTTAAAGTTTCAGTGTCGCTTGGGATAGCTTTGCCCCTTCTTGGATGGCGGTTCTGGCTCTCCTTACACTGAGTTAACAGAAGTAAAACACACCAGCTGACCTGTTTGTCCAAAGCTCAGAGCGCTTGCCTTGGTTTCTCAAAAAGAAAAAGGCTGTGAACCGATGTCTGGAGTCACTTCTTACCCCTGCAGCCCATCCTAGCAACCCAAGTGAAATGCATTCTTGAGGGGAAGCAGCCACACATTGAGAATATTCCTCCCCCCACCATTAAACTTCAGAACAAAACTCTGAAGTAGAAGCACAGAGAGCTTCCCCCCACCTGACTGCAGGCGAACCAAGTCCCAGAGCCTGACCAGCCACGTGTAGTAGTTTTACCTTGTTTTAACTGGCAATGGTAAAGTTTACCAACAAATCAGAAACCAGGGGAAAAAACAGGAATAAAGGTGCCTTAGTGACTGTTAAATAGGGAGCATTTAAAGAAGCTAATCCAACTTCACCAGTGAAACCCGTGGGGGCTAACAAAACAATTCCTTAAAAGGGTTTTGTTTTGTTTTTGTTTTGTTTTTTCTCAGCCATTTGCAGAAACAGCATCTACATATCATTTACATATTCACTGCTACTGCATTAAAAATGTTTATGGTACAAATCTGCTTTGGTTAAGATAAGTTTCTGTCCTCATAACATTTTCATTTTTGTATCTCTCCTCAAGCTCAAAGATTAGTAAAGTGCATGGAATTTGATAAGCGCTTTTGTCAAACAAAAAAACAAAACCCAACACCTCCTTGTAACTCTGTCTGATTATTTTTTCTTCTGCTAAAATGATAGTGGAATATAATCACTGCTAGTAGATGTGCTAATTCCTCTATGGATCAAAGACCAATTCCTTTCTGTATTTGTTTTCTTTCTCTCCACAGGTCATGGGTTATAGGTGCAATAGCCCTACTCTGCCTCTTAGGACTGACCTGGGCCTTTGGACTTATGTATATTAATGAAAGCACAGTCATCATGGCATATCTCTTCACCATTTTCAATTCTCTGCAGGGAATGTTTATATTCATTTTCCATTGTGTCCTCCAGAAAAAGGTAAGACAGATTATTCCGCGCTTCATAGTAGTGATACAGGGTATTTCGTTGCCTAACAACCACACTATAATGTTACCAATGTGCCTTGCATTTTTATTGAACAGACTTGTTTCTATTCACATAATAAGGGCTGTATTTAGATTGGAAATTGGAGAGATGCATGAGAATGAGATACTGAATGAGATGCATGGCTGTGGCATAGCAACGTTCAGGATGTTGGAGATCACATTATCACATGCAATACAAAATGGTAGCATGTAGTTTTGAGGGAGGATGTAATACCCGTGAGAGTTGTTTGCATTTTAGAGGCCTGATTCTCCATTCACTTACTCCAGTGTTACACTGAGACAACTTCATTGGCATGAATGGAGACATCAGTAACATCAATGAATTTCCTTCTGATTTGCATGGGTATAAATGAGAGAAGAATGGGGTTGTGTATCTTGGCTTAATTTAATGCAAGAAAGCACTTGGGAATTGCCTGTCTATATAGATGTACATATCAGGTGTTAATAGGAACTGCTTCATTTATTTTTTTTAAGGGGAAGATTTTCAAAATTTTGAGGTGCACAGGTCCTATAGCACTACAAGCTATATATAATAACTGTTCCAAAAAGTCATGGAGAGGTTTTTAAGAAATGGAAATTCAGGAGTATGAAAGCTCTTTAAAAAAATTAATTTCTTCTACCGATGTTAAATGTACTTCTGGAATAATAAGGCCAATTTCTCTTTTCAGCTTACAACAGAAAAGAATGTAAGCGCTTGTAAATGTAGGCTCCGGTCCTGCCTTGTGACCTGTGTGGCTGGAGAATAACAATGTAGGATTGGGGTCTTGCTGAAATTTGATCCTGTTCCCCACCTACGGGCCACATCCAAAGCCCATTGAAGTCACTGGAAAGAGTCCCATTGACTTTAGTGCACCTGGATGTAGGGGCTTGACCTTGCACCATTCGGGTGAATGGGTATCCTCCCATTGACTTGAATGGGAGCAGGAACAAGCCCTTGATGAGCCGCAGCGTACTGCATTGCAGCTGGTAGGCTGACATGTAAAGCCTTGGCCAGCAAGTTGTTTGGAAGCAGTTTGAGAACCAGCTTGCTAAATCGTCATGCTTTAAAACTGGAGAAAGAAACTTGGAGTCAGATTTTTGTTCCATGTCATTTCACCTCAAGAGCGATCATCATAAGAGACCTGAATGCTTTAGTTCAAATCCAAATTTGTGATAATGATTCTAAAACTTTTTAACTTCCATGCATAATAATAAAAACGTAGGAAGATGCTGACTACTTTAAAGAGACAAGTCAGCTGAACAGAGCAAACACTGTCAGAAACATCTTTAGGCACCTACAGTATCTGCAGTTGCCTACAGAGCCATAAATGTTCTGGGGATTGCCACCTAACTTTAGGCTGCTGTTTATGAAAATCTTGACCAAAAGTTTAGAGCTGCTATTTAGTATCTCAGGGTAGCATAATGCAGAATCATTGACTGCACAGTATAGATTGGTTTCAAGCATTTCATGAAGGTAAGAAACTAAGCAGACCTATATATGTATGTATATTCATACGCCAAGCATTTACTGATGTATTGACATCAGGCGCATGATGTGTTGTTACTGGTTTAATGATAATGACCCAATTCAGCAAAACACGTCAGCACATACCTCATTTTAAGTACATGAGTAGCTCCATGGAAATCATGAGGACTACTTATATGCTTAAAGTTAAGTGCATGCCTAAATGCTTTGCTGGCGTATCCTCAGTAAGAGCAATGTAGTTACTTAGTCACTTTTAAGCAGCCATATTGCTACAACCTAAGTTAAAAAAAAAAGAAAACACCAAAATTCTCCACCAAATCCACTGCGGTTTAGAGGAGAAAAGAAAACTCTGCTTGTAAATGGGCTGAAATGAGCCAATGGCATTTTCACTTAAATGTGGAGAAAATTATAGAGCGTCTGAGCCTTAAGGAGAGCCAATTCTTCTTTATTACAGCATGTATGTGGAAATGTTAATTTGACCTTTTAATAAATGAATCATTAAGGGCTAGATTCTGATTCCCTTATTCACATTGAATAATTCACTCTGCAGGCAGTCGCATTGTCGTGGGGCATCAGGCACCACTCAGCGTGAGTAAGGGGAATTAGCCTGTCCCATATTAGGCTTTGTAAATTCTACCATCTATATACATGATATATCAAATCGAAAGGAATCCCACTAATCTCAGTCAAAAAGAGCAAACAGGGATGGCACGAGCATGCCCTTGAAACAATTCTCTGCTGAATACGCTGTTCAAAAAGCATTTGCATTGGATCTGTGCATCTGTTTCAGTGTTATTTGTAGTATCCTCTAAGCTGTATAACGATGACAGAAGAATGCAGTTATACCCCGAGTACCTATACATCTCCAGTGCCTCCTGAGGTCAAAGGCCTGCCTGCCTTTCCAGCACTGACTATGAGAGGGCATCTGATAGAAGTGCAAATCTTGTTGTGTGTTACTGCTGCTCTATATTTCTAACAATTGTCTGAGCCTTTACTAGTCTATAGATACCACAGATTGGGAAAGAGGGAAAGCACTTAAACACATGCTCAGGTCCCATTGGGTGTGTCTACACTGCCTTGTAAATCCGGATCTGTGGGACCTGGGCTTGTGGACTCAGCGTTTCCAAGCTAACGCCTCGGTATCCACATGCATTATAAATCTGAGTTACAGTTGCTGGACCCAGGTTCAGGGGTGCTGCGGGTTCTGCCACACCCTCTGGCTTGAAGTAAATAACAAACACCAAATGCATGGTTTCCATGACTACCATCATCAGCGCCGTCGCTATAAAAATTGTTCCAGCACCCCTGCCCAGGTCTCAGAGCAGTGCTAACGCAGCCATACTGCAGTGCACAGACCTTCTGACTCAAGTCTGCGGCTTGAGCTGCGTCCACACTGCAAAACGACAGGGCTTCGACCCGAGTCTCAGCAGGACTTGGGCTCGGATCCACCCCGCAAACCTGAGTCATACCCCAACCTTGGTGTGCAGTGTAGACGTACCCATTGACAGCTTTACGCGTGGTCCTAAATAGAGATTCTTTTGTGAGCCTAGGCGCCCCATTGCTTATTTTGGAGATCCTGATGCCCTTACCCCAGTCCAGTAGCACTTATTCCATGCATAGTGCCATTGACTTCAGTGGATCTGCCTGTAGCGTATTCAGCAGAAGGACCATGTCAGAATCTGGCCCGTTAAGTGCTAATTTCAGCAGATGCTGCTGAGGTGTGGGTTGTGCTCTTTGGGTGTTTGTATATTTCTGGGAAGACGGGAGCTTCATTTCTCCATTAAACCTGTTTCAGCTCTCAGTGTTTTGGGTTTGCTCTGCTCTCTGACTCTTTAATGATTCTAGTCAGATTTACAGTGTTTCCTTTTATGAAGAAGTTGGATTTCTTTCAAGTCTGTGTTTCCTGTACACCCTGTTGCTCTAACTCTCAGCCCTCTTGCAAATGTTTGTTTTCTAGCACAGCACCGCTTAATGGCATTATAGCATTGTGGCCATTCCAGCACCGGATGCCTATTTTACACTCTTTGGCCAGAATCTCTCCTCTCTCATGCCAGTTTTACGACAGTGTGCTGTCGTTGATTTCAGTGGGGTACTGCTGATTTACGCCAAGGTAGGGGAGAGGAGAATCCAGTCCAGTCCCTGGATTTTGGGAATCTCTTTCCCTGAACCAAGGGGTTGGGAGAGGGATTATTTGGGGGGGGGGGAACATTTTCTGTCTCTCACGGACTGGAAAATCAGCACATAGCTGTGGTGGGAAGCAGTTGGTGGCTAATTAAAGGAATTGAATTATTTTCTCTCAGCAAAGGACTGATTAGGCACTCGAGAGCACATTGGGCACTCATGGTATTGTGTTTGTCTCAAGCTTTTATGGAAAGGCCTAATAAAAAAACCCTGTAATCTGCTATTTAAATAATCGTTTCACAGATAGGTTTCTGAAATGCCCATAGGAAGAGTGGAGAGAGATTTAATCAGAGAGCAGTGAGCACAGTGTGCTCCCAGACTAACCTCTGCTGGTTTCCTACTGCATTTACATTTCACGTGGAGAAGTAAAGTGGCCTTTTTTCACATTTGTGGCACAGCCTGAGATCACCCAGCTCAGCAAATGACCCATTTTCACTCTGGCCTCTCCCTGGTCTCCATGCATGTGCAGTCTAAATTATACACACACTCCAAACTTTTGCAGTGCCTAGAGCCTCAGCTGGGGTATGTCAGTGTAGTTCCATTGAAGTCAGGGGAACGACATCAATTGCTGCCAGAGAAATTACCCCATTATCTCCTCAGTCTTGTCTGTCATATTATAGGGCTTTATGGGGGCGTTTGCACCGTTCCCACCAGTTCTACACACAGAAGACTTCATTTCAAAGACTGTCAGTTTCACAGTTTTCTGGAGTTTGAATATATATATGAAATCAATTCCTCTTATACGTTTCTTTTTTTGTAATTTTCTTCCTAGTCCCCTGCCAGAAGCAATAACTTGTAGCACCGTGATGAGCCAATATGCCAGTTCATATCAAATCTATGAAGATATTAATTTTGGGGCATAAATAGAATGTCTTTATTTTCTCTCATGCTGCTTTGATGTGCCTCAGAGGTAGCTAAATTCGACTGATATCGTTGAACCGCTTTCCTACATAAAAGCCGTCCCTTATGACATCATAAATGTAGAGCTAATGTGTTAGGAGAACACTGTTGAAAGGTGTAATGGAATTTTTCTAAATGCACAGAAACAGCTATAATTTTAATGATTCACAGAGGAGGAAAAAAAACTATTGAAAATCTTTAGTCTCAGGCTGGAGAGGGAGTTGCCCACTAATGGAAATTACTGTTTAATTGACTAGGTACGTAAAGAATATGGAAAATGCCTGCGCACACATTGCTGTAGTGGGAAAAGTACGGAGAGCTCCATCGGCTCAGGAAAAACATCTGGGTCACGGACTCCTGGACGATATTCCACAGGCTCACAGGTAAACTGTGTATGTTCACCGGCATGGAATGCTTCTTACCTCCCTGCTAATATAGTTCTTTGCATCGGGTGATCTGTAGGCAAAGGATTCATTTCTGGAAATGAGACATCCTCTGGACAGGTACATCACTTTGTGCAGTAACAATCCATCAGTCAAGGAGGCTTCATTTGCTTGTAAAACTGATGGGGGAATAAGTTGATTATAAAACTGATTTGATAAATGGGCAGCTCAAAGACTTCCTGTTTGGTATCATTCTTTCCCTTCTGAACGTCATGGGTCACACTCTGCTCTTTGTTATAGGAGTAGTAATCTGTAGCAGTTCCATTAGAAGTCAAAGGAGCTGCTTCAGAGTTACGCCAGAGTCATGCAAAACAGAATTTGGCCCAATGCTTTCAGATGTGACATCCCTGAATCGAGCACAGTTTGGTGACCTTAGGTTGAAATTACCATTAGCATCCCTTAAGCAGTCCTTAAATGAATTGAGGTGAAAACAAAGGTGTTTTTCCCCAAGGCTAAGGAATGTGTGTTTTATATGACAAGGTTACTGTGCTATCCCAACAAAATATTTATGCTGATAAAAAAACAACAGCAGCTAAAAATCTTGTATAGGCTGGGTGCTGAGGCCTATCACCTTCTGGCAATAGTTGTTTTAATCTGTTGGTTTACTCAGTTTCCATAGTTTGTGGATCTCTGCAAAGAATCAACTGAGATTCAAATAATATTATTTATTTTCTAAATTGTATTATGCTCTGGTCAACCAAAAATTCCGTTTTTATTCTGTTTGGGAGTTTGGCATTTTACTCCCTAACTTGTGTAAGGATGCTGATTTATGAAGAGCAGTGCATGTCAAACAAACTAGCTGACTCCTTAATCAAGAGAAACCAAACACACACTTATTCTGCATTACTAAAGGATCTAATTATATTTGCCAATTCACCTATTCAATTATGACAGAAACATGCAGTGAATAACAGTTTATAATCTGTCAGGAAAACATAATTTGTGATTTATGTTGTCTTGGAAGTAAATTGTTATTTATTTTAAGTTTTCCAAGGTGTCATTCAAGAGTTGTATTCTGACATCTGCTAGGGACTGCACACAGCGCATATAGTAATGGAACATGGGGCCTTTCACCTCTTGGTCAAAAGTGTCTGGTGGTGCAGATTTGGCCAGTGGTCTGCCTATCGACTACCTAGCGTGTCTTACATATACAACACTCCCATTAATACACCCCAGAATGATATTTGCCTTTTTCGCAACTGCATCATGTTGTTGACTCTCATTCCATTTGTGATGCACTATAATTCTCAGAGCTTTTCCAGCATTACTACCACGTGCCAGTTTGTCCCATTTTTCAGCTGTGCATTTGATTTTTCCTTCTTAAGCATAGTACTTACCACTTATCTTTATTGAATTTCATCTTGTTGATTTCAGATTACTTCTCACATTTGTCAAGGTTGTTTTGAATTCTAATCCTGTTCTCCAAAGTGCTAGCAACCTTTCCCAGCTTAGTGTCACCCACAGATTTTATAAGCATGCTCAACACTGCATTATGCAAGTCGAGACCCCTACTTGATACACCCTGTCAGTTTGACAGCAAACCATTGATAACTCTCTTTGAGTATGGTCTTTCAACCAGTTGTCCACCCACCTTATATTAATTTCATCTAGAATACATTTCCCTACTTTAATTATGCAAATATCATATGGGACTGTTTCAACAGCCTTAGTAAAATCAAGATGTATCATGTCTACTGCTTCCCCCCATTCACTAGACCAATAACCCTGTCAAAGAAGGACATTAGGGTGCTTTGGCATGATTTGTTTTCGACAAATCCATGCTGGCTATTCCTTATTATCCTCTAGGTTCTTACACATTGATTGTTTAATAATTTGTTCCAGTATCTTTTCAGGTATCGAAGTTCGGCTGACTGGTCTGTAATTCCCTGGGTTCTTTTTCTTGCCTTTGTAAAGATAGGTACTATGTTTGCCCTTCTCCAGTCCTCTGGGACCTCATCCGTCCTCCAGGAGTTCTCAAAGATCATTGCTAACGGCTCTGAGATTGCTTCAGCTAGTTCCCTAAGAACCCTATAATGAATTTCGTTCTCACACCCAGGCTAGGCTAACTCAGGTGTTCAGACCTAGGTGCCAGTCACCCAGGTGAATTGTGCAGTGTGGCCACAACCCTCTAGCGGTCCCTCCAGACTAAGGTTGAGACACTTTGGCGGGTTTGTGCTTGGATTACACGCCAGCTTCCTATGCTGTGCTTGTTTTCCGTATCAACAGAGGACCCCAGGCTCTGCGGCTGGCCATCCTGCACTTCTCACAAGCCTTACAACACACAAAGAAAATCACAGCAGAAAATGGATGATGATTCTACAGGGTTATAGAGAGTATCTAATGCCATTTATTTAACATTTGTGACGCATTGTCTCGGAGTGTTTTACAGAGAAATGACCTGGGATTGCTTGGAAGCATTCTATTATTTTATAGCAAAATACAAGCTGCAGGGGAAGATAAACCACATGAAATATTTTCCCCTGTTAAGATACTCCAAAACATCATAATTAATAATCAGGAACAATTACGCCAAAGAAATTAAACAAGCTTCTCCACCATTAGTAATTAAATATTTAAAAGGGTCGCACTTTACATTAAAGTTCCATTCATAAAAATGTTTATAAAGGATTAATAAGCGATTAATAGATGATTTAATACTGGGTAAATCAATTGTCATAGAGTCCAATGGATATTTACACTGTGATTCATAAATAGGAGTGGGAAACAGTTTTCCCATCCCATGAGAATTTGATATTTTTTTCTGATCTAAATCTCACAAATTTTCAAAAACCAAAAATCAATTTATAAAAAAATCAGTTCAGTTCAATCAAATAATTTCATTTTGATAATTCCAAAATGTTTTGTTTCCATTTCGAGGTTTGTTTCACCTTTTGTTAGCGTACATGTACGAACATTTCAAAACAAGAGGTCTGTTTTATTCAAAACACTGAAACTTTCCTGTTCAACAATCTCAAAACTTTATTAACCAAAAATGTTTCGAGTCAGGTGTTTCATAAAAACCATCACTGTTTCTCGAACAGTTTCTGTTTTTCCCACAAACTGGCATTTTCCAATGAAAAAGCGTTTAATTGGAAAATTCCCAACCAGCTCTGTTCATAACCATCTGTTGCACCTTCTGCTGAAACGTTTATAACTATAGCACACACTGCTCATGTCTGTGACCTGCTTATGACGTCTATTAACACTTTATAAACCATTTATAAATGGAATCTTAATATAAAGTGTGACCAAAATGGGTTATTGTAGAGTTTTCAGCTAGGATTTTCAAGAACCCTAAGGCTCATGGACACCTGCCTACCTCCTTTAAAATTCCTTGGAAGTCCCAGGCTTCACATTTCCATAGTGCAGAACAATGCTTCCCCTCCTTGTGCCATCTTACCCATGTCAGAGGTGAGGGCTGGGCAGGTGTCTCCCTTGCACTCATCCCTGGGTTTCTCAGTGTCCTTGGAGGTATGTGGATGTTTTCCCCCACATGGCAGAATTATTGACTCACAGTGTCATAGAATCATAGAATATCAGGGTTGGAAGGGACCTCAGGAGGTCATCTAGTCCAACCCCCTGCTCAAAGCAAGACCAATCCCCAACTAAATCATCCCAGCCAGGGCTTTGTTGAGCCTGACCTTAAAAACCTCTAAGGAAGGAGATTCCACCACCGCCCTAGGTAACCCATTCCAGTGCTTCATCACCCTCCTAGTGGAAACGTTTTTTCCTAATATCCAACCTAAACCTCCCCCATGCAACTTGAGACCATTACTCCTTGTTCTGTCACCTGCTACCACTGAGAATAGTCTAGATCCATCCTCTTTGGAACCCCCTTTCAGGTAGTTGAAAGCAGCTATCAAATCCCCCCTCATTCTTCTCTTCTGCAGACTAAACAATCCCAGTTCCCTCAGCCTCTCCTCATAAGTCATGTGCTCCAGCCCCCTAATCATTTTTGTTGCCCTCCGCTGGTCTCTTTCCAATTTTCCCACATCCTTCTTGTAGTGTGGGGCCCAAAACTGGACACAGTACTCCAGATGAGGCCTCACAAATGCTGAATAGAGGGGAATGATCACGTCCCTCGATCTGCTGGCAATGCCCCTACTTATACAGCCCAAAGTGCCGTTAGCCTTCTTGGCAACAAGGGCGCACTGTTAACTCATATCCAGCTTCTCGTCCACTGTAACCCCTAAGTCCTTTTCTGCAGAACTGCTGCCTAGCCATTCAGTCCCTAGTCTGTAGCAGTGCATGGGATTCTTCCATCCTAAGTGCAGGACTCTGCACTTGTCCTTGTTGAACCTCCTCAGGTTTCTTTTGGCCCAATCCTCTAATTTGTCTAGGTCCCCCTATACTCCCCATCAGCCCCAATGACGTTCTGCGTTGGGGAAAAGGAGAGGTTGCCTTACATCCTTTGTACCTGAGCAATACCTTTGATTGTGTAGGATTCTGTTAAAGATCGAGGCTGATAATAAAACCATCTGTTTTCCATTCGCTGCCAGCATATGGGGATAAGTAGCTCAGCACAGCAGTTTGCAGGCATGAAGCACAGTCACACACACACACACACACCCCAACACTGCACACATTTCCCTGCCTAACCCATCTCTTCGGGCGGGGGTTATCATGTCCCAAACTCCTTATGTGTGGCTGTTCTCTGAGCCTGCTCTGCTGGGTCTGTCCAAGCTCATCAAAATGGAGGACACCTTCCATGTTTGGCTACGTGGAAAAGCATAATGCTTACTGCTCTGGGAACTCTCCGGGGCTCAGCTCCCGTGCACTGAAGAGCACGGACTCTTTGACACACAAACTAGGAAAGATGAGGCTGCCCATGGCGACACTACAGTGCAAGCCATGTGTATTTCGGCCCTCGTTCTCCCACTGCCATATACCCCAATGAGATGCTGGTGTAACTCCTCTGAAATCAGTGGAATAACACCATCCTCATGCTGAAGCTGCTCAGGGGTGATTCAGGCCCTTTATTATTATTGTAGTAGCATTTTTATACTTTAGCTTGCAGCTAGTGCCTCCTGAATCGTTCTCCCTGCGTCAGGAGACAAGGAGGGGTGACGGAAGCCACAACCCCAGATTGGGTTTCCCCATAGCAAAGGCGGATCATGTATGCAAGGCCCATGACAGTCCCAGTTGTACAGCAGTGCAGCAAGTTCATTTGGCCACCTCTCATCCTGACATTCAGCAATGCAGCTGGGAAATATGTCTCTTTGGACCCTTCCTCCAGATAATGGGGAGAAAAACAACCAGCAATCAGGAGCCAGATATTCAAAATAGCTCAGCGCTCAACACCTCCCATTTAGGCATCTCAATAAGTGACTGGGTTTTCCAAAGGGGATCAGCTTCCATCTTCAGGCACCTAAAAGAAATGACCAGATTTTCAAGGAACAACAGGCGCTACTCAGAGATGAGTTGTTCTGAAAAACTGCCCCTGCTCGCTGCTGCTTATCCCGTTGGAAATCTGTCAGTAGATTTTCCAAAGCGCAGGCTTGGGGATGAGGCGGTGTGGTGCGAGTGACAAAGGCAAATGCCCCATGACCCATCTGAAAGACAAAAGAGAAGACCGCTAAATCCGGGATAACACAACAAGACCTCTTCAATAAATGCTATCCCATAAATGTCAAAATCTTCGCTGTTTTTCATTAGGGGAATATAACTTCTCTTGTTTTGTGGCTGTATTTATTTCTCACCTTCCCCACAGTGGATAATAAACCTCTAGAAAACTTGAGCACATCCAAAGATGCCTAGACATAAAACAACTATTCCAGTATACTTGGGGGAAAAAAACCAGATACAAATCAATATACAACAAGGGAATTTTAGAAGCATTCATGCTATTTTCTGTGAGTTAGTTTCAGTCATTCAACACTACACGGCTGGAACAATATCTTGCATGGAGGTTATTTTGTGCACGGTCTGTTCTGCTTGTTTATTAATATTTAGAAACTATATGCTATCCTGTGATGCACTTCTTATTTGAGA